AATAAAAGTCCTTCAGGATTTATTAATGGTGGACACAAAATAAAATAAACAGGTGACATCATGTTGCTGGCAGGTATCGAAGTAAAACTGCAGAAATTCCTAGACATATGTAGTAAGGAAAATGTAGTAGACATAAAATTAACCGTCATTGGTAAGAAGACACAATCGGTGCACATTAACAAAATGAACCTCTCAAGATGCGAACTAGTGAATTGGAGATGTCAAAATGGCGTAAGTAGAGAAATGTAGCTGAGAAGTGTTTTAACTGATCAGGAATATGTGTCGCAAATTCCCGAAGCTGCATTGGGACTGCTCCGACGTTTACAGAAGTCTGGTTTCAGGGGCGCGTTAGACATGAAGTACCAGACAAATTACGAAACTGTCAGCAAGCAGTTCAGAAACACAATCCTATACTATGAAAGATACACACGAGCCGACTGCGGGAGCGACCATCTTCATTTCGTAAGCTGTTTCAGCGTAAAACGGCAGAAACTAAATAAGACCAAAAGAATGTCTAGATTCCTGAATGATCCGAGCTGAAAGGAGATGTATATATGCAAAAACAAATATAAATCGAATGAGACTACAGGGGGGGGGGGCGTGTTGAGAGATGCACTAGTGAGAATGAGATCATTCCAAAGAAAGGGAGAGTGGAAGATGCTATTCAACACATGTTGAAAAAGAGACAACAAACAATACCAAGGAATGGTAAAATGCATATAACACGGAACGCAGAGATTAGAAACAAATGTGTGTGAGCTAAAAAGGCCTGGCTTAATGAAAAATCTGCAGAAATAGAAAGGATAGGCAACACAGATAATGCAATTATGCATAAAAGAATCAATTATTTAACAAGATAAAATGTGAGCTTATCAAAGGAAAGTATAAGGAAAACAGAGAAGGAAAAAAAATTCCAAAGCGTGAATACGTCAACTATTTTATGATGTAATACAGAAACCTCAAATACACAAAGATATTGAAGGACGGAGAATAGTAAAATCTGAAGACCGCACTGGTCAAGGTGAACGAGTACACAGCGGTAGGACCCGATATGATGCTCATAACCTTGAACAATTTTCATATCAAAAACATCGCAGATGCAATAAACGAAATAATACGACAGTGACAACGCCCTGACAGACATTAGTAGATCAATTTTATTAGAATTACTTAAGAAACGGTGTAAATGTATATGAGATCCATCGGACAATCAGCTTAATGGGCCAAATAAAGAAAGTAATGATACGAATCCTGATGAATAGCGCCCTAAGTAGAATTAAACCAGAAATAGGTTAAGAACAAGACAAATTTGTCAAGCAGTCTTGGACAAGGAATACATGATGATTAAAATTATATCAGCGGAGAGAGGGAGCAATAGAAATGAAGAAAGATGTCTTATACATCATGAAAATCATTTGACATAGTAAGGAACTAGGATCTGTTTGGATTGATAGAAAAATTAAACTATATGATTGACGTATGTTAGAATAATCCAGAACCCATAATGGGAGTAAACAACCAGTATGGAAAATGAATTGAGTAGCTACATAAAAACAGAAAAAAAATAGATTCAGAATGAGTTGAAACTTCGCAGATTCATAATGAAAAAAGAGGGTTTAACACAATCATGACATACTGAAAAATAGAAAAATGTATGTAACCTACCTAACAAGATTGTACTAATGAATAGTAAAACAGGGAGAAATGATGAAAATGTAAGTGTTACTATGAGCTACAAAGGAGAAACTTGTGTGGCCCCAGAACCGAAAGCGAATCTGATTAGCAAAACATGTATTTCAAAATTTAAACAAAGCACTCAGAAACAAATAATATCGTTAGAATCAAAGACGTCTGCTGAATTACTATGTGGCATCAGTGCTCTTGTGTCGTAGTGTATACTTGACAATCTCACCACAGAGGAACAGAAATGTGATTTTACAAAATGATACTAAGTATTCCAAGGACAGAGCGTGCAATCAATGAGGTAGTCTTAAATAAAATTGTTACAAAATAATTGTTACTTAACTGATAATTAATATAATTCCACTGGGTAATTTCCCCACAAATGAAAAGGAGTCTTGAGGCAACAGCAATGTAGTTCTACAGAAGCATGCTGAGAATACCAGAAACTAGACATCTGAGTATTGAGGAATTTTTATGAAGAATGGGAAGGAAAACCACAAGTTTAATTTGAATCAAATAGACATTTGAATCTTCTTGGAGATATAAAGAAGAAAGAAGCTGTTGATAGTTTGACCTTCACAGAGCATGGTGAATGTATGTCGAGAAAATAGAAATAGTGCACTGCCTAATGAACCTGCATGAATAGATGTCAAAACAGTATGGAAGGGAAGCTAAGGAAACAAACGATGCTAATAGCTACAATGGATAGAAAATAACCAGAATCGCCTTCATCTGCATTTGCTTTGGATAATTTTGTTTAGCAACATATCAGCCTGTATGTGTTATTTAATGCCGAAATCTAAATACATTTTACACAATAGCATGCCTTCAACTACGCATAAAATGTGGTCGTTTTGCTATAAAATGTATTATTGGTCATTTTACATTAAAATGTATTGCTAGACATTTTACAATAAATATGTGTTGCAGGTATTTTTACTATAAAAATGTATTTTTATACTTTCATAGGTTTTTGTCTTTTCACTATTTGCCCATAGCTAGGACCGTAACAGGTGCTACCTGAGAACAACAGCAGTTACGATGTGGTTACACGCTCGTCAAAACTAACAATCTTCAGATCAGAGGTCTTGATGCTGCTTGTACTTTATCGGTATACCCAGCAATTCTTTGTACAAAAGAGTTCATTGCATCTCGTTACTGAGTAAGCATTTATTGATATCAATAAAAAAAAAAGAAACGGGATCAGTGATCCAAGTTCGAATCCCGACAGCGGCTGTGTGTGTTTACTTCGTACCATTATTCCTTTGAACACAATTAAAGATCTGTGGCAGGGCTGACTAAATTGTTTCTTGAGGGTATGATAGTTGGAAAAAAAAGATGTATAGGGAAAGAGAGTTTCTTTCTGATTATATAGCTGGGAGCCTAACAGATGCTACCACGTCGAGTGAGGGTGAACCTGGGAGCAACAGCAATTAAAAGGTTTTTCCACGTTACACAAATTCTCCAATCTCCCGATCAGAGGTCTTGCTGCCGAATGCAGTTTATCGCCCAGGCGTAGCCCTTATTTCGAAGCGACTCGGCTACTGAAATATCCTCCTCAATAATCTACGCATTATTTGAATTGTATATGGCGAGTATGGAATTCCTCTTCTTTGTCTTTCTCCTAGATAAGGAAACACGTTATTCGAACAATTTTACTTGCTCATCAACACCATCAGAACAAATGATGGCCGTAATCAATGACAAATGTCCAACATATTGCATGCAAACGGCACTATTTTCCTTTGATGACCAACTTCACGAGGAAATATTTACTTAACTGCTATATTTGGTAGATATTGCACTTTCGTCTCACCATATATTCTGGTCATTCCAGAATTGTCTAATGAAAAGAAAAAATCAATGTACTGGCATTCTCCAAAAAAGCACATCGAGCAATTCTTCAATGAGACAGATAAAATTTTCTTTGAGAATGGAATTATGAAACGTTTTGAAAGATAGCATATGAAAAATCGGTTAATGTATTATTCAATAAAATTAATATCGAAAATAGAGTAAGGATTTTATTTTTACTTAAAACGAAATAATATTTTTCTAACATCGGATTAAGGTTAGTGTCTACATTATGTTTACTCATGTTTAACGCGGTTTATTTTTATCACCTCTTTTTAAAAAATATAATCTCAACGTTTTGAACATGGTGACCTTCATCAGGAGTTTGTCGGTCCGGATCAGGGAATTTCAAATTTAGCCATTTACTTTTCTATACAGGTAGAAAATGAAAGTGTCAAGAGTTATCTCGACTGTTTCTCATTTAGTCTTATTTAAACTTATTTAGTCTTATTAGTACTGCTCAATTATTGCCCGCATTGTTAACATTGAGTTTAAATTCGCACGATTAGGCCCAGATAATAAACTAACTTTATCATAAAATTATTTAATCCACTCGTCTATTGAAACGTGGGAATAATTCTAAGTATAGAACTTGCGACATTAACTCTAATCTGCCTTCTGGTGACACTACTGTGATTTTACTGCTTGCAACACTTGATTACATTCAACAATATTTCTCTTTCCTTACTTTTGCTTTTACTACTTCTGTTGAAGCTTTGCTGTAATTTTACAGGTAGTTTATGGCATTTACTTTTATACTAGGCTTACTAATTAGGTTCTTATTAACAAGCATATAAGCTGATTATTTCAGACGTTTGAATCTCTCTAATTTTACCTCATTCTCAGGTGTTGGTAACTAGCCTCTTCTCTCTATACATGATCGGCCATGCTCGATTTCATTGACACGCTCTTAATTTATGATGTAATTCCAGCCTTATTGTAAGGGAGTAGCTTATTTCCTTTGCCACAACTACAGCGTTTGAATATACACACTTCTTGTCAAGCATTAGCCTTGTGTCAGCAGAGATTTATCCGAATGGTTGAGCCGCTTCTGGCTATTGTGTTGTTGTTGCATAGACCAAAGATCTTCCCAATTTCTTTCCGATTGCGTTGTGCCTGTTAGTTTACACGCTGAAAGCAGAGAGAGATAAAACTGAATATTACTAAGTATGTACTAGACGAAATATCCCAAGACATGAATCAATGAAACTGAGATTAAATAAAGCGTTCAGTTCCTAATTCCACGGAGTTTACTTGGATAGACAATCACCTGATTAAAACCGGTGAACGTAACGATCAAAACGTTGTGATAACAGCACCAACAATGAGGACAATCAACCGAGTGTATGAAATATAAGCAATGATGACTGCTCATCCAAGAAATTCAGACATAAATTATAGATTTCTTTCGGTAGTAAACATTCAAATGCAAAATACTTTTCATTTTTTCTTGCTGAGTCGGCTTACGGACATATCAGGTAAAAACATCCTCTCTCGTACGATCACCGAATTTAAGCAACGCTGAGCTAAGTCAGTACACAGATGGGTGACCGCTTGGCAATACCAGATGCTGTAGACTTGATTATTCTAGTGGTGTAATGGATAACGGCTTTGAATTCTAAATCGACGAGACGAGTTCCAATACCAGTCGGTTTTGTTATATTCATTTACGCGCAAATAACCTTTGGAAAAGTTTCATTCCCCATCTTCTCCCCAACTATGGATTAATTAGTAGGGCTTGTATCAGTAAATAATTATTACCTGCAAAAAAAGATTTCTTTTAATCTAAACTCATTTTTGGCTATAAATGACCTGCAAAAGATTGACAGTCTGTCAAGTATCGATCAATGAATCAATTGCTGATTTCGATTTACAAGCCGATTTTGTACTCACCGATTGTACCATCTTCGACGGTAGCTGACCCACCTTTCTCTCTAAGATAACCACAAATATCATATACCGGTAAGATTAATTTCTTTCTTTCAATCTCCAACCACATCTACCGCACCATACTTCCTTGCTACGTCATTCTTGTTGATTTTTTAAACAGTTTCCTCCGTGGCACCATTATTTATTTCTCGGTAACATACCGCATCAGAAAACAAGGACGTTCAATTTTATTTGAAACTGGATCAATTAATTTAAAAGTTGAAAAATTCAAACCACGACCAATGTTCCATACAACACTTGTCAACTACATATAAAATGTATTGTTGTCAATTCTGCTATAAATCGGTATTGTTGATAATTTTACTATGAATTGGTATTGTTGGTAATTGTTGTTTTATATATAATGTGTTCCTCCTGGGTATGATGACAAACTACATCCATCAGAAAGGCCTCTGATCTGGAGGTTTTGCGGATCGTGAAATTAAATTGCTGTTATTCGCAGGTCAACAATGATACGAGGCAGTAACACCTGTTACGATTCCAGTTATGGGAAAATAGTTAACCACCAAACAGTGTTCAATACACTATGAAAATGCAAAAATATATTTATATAGTAAAAATACCATCAATACATTTTTGAAAAAAATATATTACCAGAAATAGATTTGAGTCTCGACAAAAAACCCTAAAAATATGTCAATGCAGCTTTATTTTCAAACTGATTTCTTACAAGGAATGCATATTCTATTCATACTAATGAATTAAATAACTTATTGAGTTTGATATGCTGTAAAACAAAAATAAGTCTAAAATGTGTTGCTAGTATTTTTCCTATAACAACATATCTTTATACTTTCAGGCTGTTTTGTTTTTGTTTGTGAGTTTACTATTGACTCACAACTGGGACCCTAACAGGTGGTACCTGGGTGCAACAGCAATTAACAGGTGACAGTAATTAACAGGTGGTTTTACGCTCCTCAAAACCTACAATCTTCTGATCAGAGGGCGTCCTGTTGGATGTACTTTATCGAAATACCAAGGACTACTTGTATTTGATACAAAAGATTTACTGCATCTAGTTACTGAGTAAGCATGTGTTGATAACAATAAAATAACGGAATCAGCATATTCATTATTGAAATCAAAATTTCTCTGGTAACGGTTAGAGCAATTGTTTAAAGAAAAAGGGGCATAAGGTGTTAATAATTTGTATCAGTATAAAGTTACATTCACAGACGTCAAGTCAGGGTAAGGTTGGGGGTGTCTAAATTTAAAGCGGAAGAAGATTTCGCCTAGTCTGGTTTACGTGTCTATGGAGATTTATTTATTTTTTATTTCATTTTTTTTCTGAAAGGGTTTTAATGAATATGATTATAAAACACGTAAATTTCAGAAATAAGTTATTCCCAAAAATTTTCGCTTGAAGATGGAACAGAGCTTACTTTAATTCAATTAAATTCAAATAATTATATTGATGTTTTCGGCTCTTGTTTGGAAATATGAGAACTCTTATGTAGCGTGTTGGAATCATATTTTTAAATAAATAATTATATATATATATATATATATATATATATAATATATATATAATATGATAGGTAATTAGAAACAAATCGTTGCCTCTTTTCCGAAAGTTAAATTTTAATTCTGACCTTATGCCGTCCCTTTTAACTTTTGTAAAAGAGGTAAAGTCTTGTTTTTAAATTTTGCATGACGATCTACAATCATAATTTTGAAACATGAAAGCTTTTGTGTAGCAATTTAAGAATGTTTTATTATAATCTCTTATAATAAAAATATAATAATAATATATTGCTATACTTTGTTTTGAGCACTTTTTGTAAATAATAAATGCTATGGACGGTGGATTTTTACTCCATTTGTTCATTTTTCATTTGTATATATATATATATATATATATATATATATATATATATATATATATATATATATATATATACTCCTATGCTATGTTGCTCAATAGTTTAAGAGTGCCTGGTAAAATCTAACATTTTTGGATTATTACAGGATATTGACTCATTTAATTTAAGTTAGTGTAAGCAAACGGTAAATACGAACAATATTAAATCATCTTTAAGTTTAAAAATCTCTCACGGTCATAACGTTTAAATTGAGCAAGCTTTATCACTTTCTGAGATTCAAGGGACACATGTACAGACATTGCACAGGACATGACACTTGAAGTTAGAAATTCCAGGTTAAATGGTTTGTAACAAGAAAGCAGTTCACAATGGTATTACAGTTTACCAAGCTGATGACTGAAACAAAATATGAAATTCCAGAAGAATAAACCCCTTCATGTAATCGTATAATAAAACTCATCTTTTCACGATCTCCAATAGGTTCATAAAGAAAAGATTCAAGCCACCCAGGTGTAGAAACACGAACTCTGAGTGTTTGTTACAGATTCGTCAACGAATTCCCCAAATCCCCGTAAACCTCTCGGAAAAACCAAAATTTACAGTGGAAATAAGATAGGAATGTATGAATATTCGACAAAGTTACACTGAGGGAATTTTATTTATTCTGATGTAATCCACACTGTAATTTCTTGTTCACCGGGATTAATATATCAAAAGAGATATGAGGAACATATATATATATATATATACAAAATCTTTAAAAGATTCTTCCAGTCAGATGTGTTTGTAAAATCAAATTTAGCAACCATAAATTGTTAACAGCAAAAGTTATATGCACATACACGCTTGTTGCACATTTATGCATAAAGGTGTCACTAAGGAAAGGAAATATTATTCTGAGAAAGTCGCAGTCATTACATTTGAATGGCCTATAAACAGTCCTGGCCTATATCCGATAGAAAATGTGTGAATTAAATGAGGAATAAGGTTGAAATCAAACAGACTGTGGACGCTATCGAGATCAATGAGATTTCATCAGAATATTTCTAGTCACTTATAACCTGCATGTTTTGTCGTATTGAAATATTTATCAAAGCCGTAGGAAATAGCTTATATAGAAATGAATAAAAAAAATAAGCGGCTTTTAATAAATTTGATGCAGTTAAGTTAGTTCTTCTTTTTATAATCCTGCTATTGAGATATTTTGTTCGTTTTTGTTAAAAATGTTTACTTCTTAAACTTTTGCCCACGACTGTGAAGTTGTCTCAAGTAACTTCTAATAAGAAGTTAAGAAAATGAAAGTAAAAATATCCATTTATAATATCAGGTTAATTGTCATTATTCCCGTGTATAAAATTCGTTTTTCAATGGCATTGGTCACGCACAGTGTCTGCGCCATGGCAATTAGTAGGGAAAAGTAAAATAGATTTTCTTTGATACCTACAAATGAGTTTTGATTTTAAAAAATACTATGCAATCTTGGAAAGGCAGTTCTATGAAATTAATTAATTTGATATGTAGACATTAGTACTATAAATACGCACACAAATTTCGATAGGTTTACAAGAAGTGATTTGACATTGTATAGAGAAAATTCAGTTTCTTCTTTCTATCTATCTATCTATCTATCTATCTATCTATCTATCTATCTATCTATCTATCTATCTCTCTCTCTATATATATATATATATATATATATATATATATATATATATATATATATATAGGTAGAGAGAGTGAACGGGATAGATACAGCAATATATATATATATATATATATATATATATATATATATATATATATAGATAGAGAGAGAGAGAGAGAGAAGAGAGAAATATATATATATATATATATATATATATATATATATATATATATATATATATATATATATATACTTTGTATACCCTTGCTAGACCCAGCTTATGCTCTGCGGTGGAGCGGCTAAGTGTCAAAAAGCAGTCGTGGCTCTTGGGGTACTGTTCCGAGGTTATCTGAATACTTAGATGTGTATCGCTGTGGAACTGAGTGAGTACCGCGCTATATCGAGTTTAGTTTGTGTCTTCTTTTCGCACTGAGGCACGTGGTGCAGTTGTCATGACGTTTGCGTTGTACTGAAACGGTCTGCGTTCGATTCTCGGTATTGGATGCGCACTACTGAGTCCTAGATAGGGATAGGCATTCTGTTGAAGATTATTCTAGGCTCGACGAATAACAATATGATTAACCTAAATAATACCCCCTGCCACACACCCATATATATATATATATATATATATATATATATATATATATATATATATATATATATATATATATATATTAGGGCGGCTAGCCATTCGCTATTGCAGATGCTCGCTCAGGCACATTTGTGTTTGTCCCAAACCACAGAACCAACCTGAGGTTTATGCAGCAATTATACTGAGCAAATCTTAGTTACAGTTTTTTAGGGAGAGTGTGTTATCTAGCGTGAACAAGGCCAGAACAATCACGATGACTTGAGACTTCGTGCTAGCACAGCTATCTGCAGTCCCCCAAATGTTCCGTCTATCCAATTTCACTCAGAAGGCTGGGTATGTACTTCAGGGACTTTTCAAAGGTGCCGAAATCTGGGATCGCCCCCTACAGACCGATAACATATTTATATATACAGTGGAGGCAATTACTTACGCGCTCATACCCTTGAGAAAAGTTTTAATCATCTTCTTCTCCCTCTAGCTATGGGTAAATAGCAGAACAGACTGGGTTCTATAGCTTTGGATGGCAACTGATCTAAGAGAAGTACACTTCTGAATTCAAAACC